TTAGCCACATGGAAAGGCCTCAAATTCTTGTGTTCCCCATTATCACCAATCTACCATTAACTTCAATTTGCAAAGGTTTACTGAATTTTGTGGGATGTTTTTGTAAATATGTTTTTTTCTTAATTTTAAAATAGTAAGAAATTATAAATAATTGAGAGCAAAGGTTCAGATCTCTGTACCAGCCAGCTGCAAAAGAAAAAAAAAAGGGTAAATACTAAAAATCACCCATAAATCTACCACACAGTGATTAATTCAGTTAACATTTGGATGTGCATTGTTCATATTATACACATAATATTATCTACAAACTTGGGCTGACATTATACATACTCTGTTTTCTTAATTTTCAATATATAATTGGAACAATACCTTGCCATTAAGTATTTTTTTTAAAATAATTTTATTTTCATATAATATTTCACTCTGTAGACACAGTTTAAGGTTTTGCTTCCCCTTGAGTGTTTAAAGCAATCTTCTATTGTTGGATGTTGATATTGTTTACATACTCCCTTATATTATAAATATGTCGCAGTGAACATCATTTAAAAATTTTTTTTCTACACATTCATGATTGTTTAAGACACATTTCTTCTATTACTGAACTGGATAAAACATTTTAGACCTTTTTAAAGCTTTTGATATTGATTGCAAATATCCTTCACCCCCACACCTCTAAAAAGCTGTATCAAATCATACCCTTTCAGCCATGTGATGTGTCTCTATTTTTAAAAAATTGCAGTTGTTGGTTCTCCTCTTTGTGAATAATCATCTTTCTTTTTATTGAAAGTCTTTCTTTCTGATTGTCTCTTTTGCTTTTGTGTTCCCTTATCCATTTCTATTCCTTAAGTATTATAATGGTCATAGTGAAAAATTTATTTTTATTTCACCTTGAATATTTTGCTGAAAACAGTTTGCAGAATTTTCATTAAAGAGAATCATACTTACTCAAAGACTGTGGACTCACTTAGAAACATAAATATTTGCTGAAAGAAGGAAAACATATTTATTAAGTACCCGAGTGTCCAATACCATGCTAAGGACCCTGGCGGATCCCTGACAAGCACGAGACCTGGCCCTCAGAGGTCTCGTGTTCTCAGCTGGGGAAATACAACCAAGTTCACATACTCTAAGGATAGTGTTTTCTCAACCTTTTAGACCCATGTCCACCGAAATACTTGCTCACTGTCCTCTGTGTATCACCCCTCTCACCCACCAAAAAGATTTTGCCGGGCTTTCTTTTCTGTATTACAAATTACAGACCTAGATCCATTGAACATCCTCTTTCAGATTTCTTCTACATCTTGTTTGGATGTGCCTTCCTGTCTCAGTGGAGAATTATTTCGTTAGAGAATTGTCCAAAGTAGGACTCTGAAGTTTATTCTAAGAACCTAAGATGTGGACATCCTCCCAGGAAGACAAGCTCCAGTGAGCTTGGCTCGATAAAGCCCGAATTAAAGCGCTTATTTTAGCAATGAGTTTCCTACAGGATAAGAGCACAGTGGTGCCTCACACCCTGGCTTGATCTCTGTCTCCTTTCTCTCTTCTCAGAGCTATGCTTATCCTGCTTTCTATGAGTAGTCAGTCTGCGCCAGCTTGCCTCCTGCATGAGGTGCCCACATCAGCATTCCTGCTCCCACCTCTCTTTTCTTCTGTTCTTTGTGTAATACACAGCCTGTTCTGATTCCAAACATCTTGCTTCAGTGGCTAGAGTTCTGCCTTGTACCCCGGTAATGAGCTTTCCTACTCTGTCCCTTGCTCTCTCAGTCCCTCATGGCTGTTTGTCATCCACTTCTTATCAAAGACTTGATGGCCTAACCCCTTTCTCACTAGAATTAGCTCCCATAACTTTTACTGACCCAGTATATAGCACAATGCCTGATCAAACACAATGTGTATAATAAATATTTGTTGAATGAATTGGAAACGTTCTGTTGGTTGAATTTAAATATATGTCTTGGGCTTAATCAAGACGTCTTAACACAGTACTCATATTTCACTTGACTTTCTTCTTCCTCTCCTGCCCTGGATTTCTGGTTTTGGTTTTCTAGGCT